AAAATCACATAAATTATCAACCGTCTCACGTAAAGGCACATTGGTGAATAAGGAGTCCACATCTATTGAGTACATAAGCTCTGCACTCAGTGACAATTGTTCCAGTGTCTCAGCCAGTTCAAAGGAGTCTTTCAGGCAATACGTAGAAAGGAGTTTACGCACCGGATCTAATAGTTTGGCCAGCCACCGTGCAACATTGTGATAAGGTGAATTGTTCATGCACATAATCGGACGTAGCGGAAATCCTGCTTTGTGTAACTTGGGAGCGCCTCTCATTCTAGGTGTCTGTGTCCCGGTCGGTTTTAAGTGCCTGTACTGCGACTCATTGATGTCCAGCTTCACTTTTACCCCTCCTGTTTTCAACCCCCCAATTCTCGGCTCTCCTCCACCATGCTTTCCTGGGCTTTTACCTTCTACTTTCAACTCACATGTGAACGCGGAGCCTCATTCCTGTCCCGCCGACAAGCCCATATCCAAGTAACCGGCCAAGCCCAGCTCATCGGCTTCCATTTGGAGCCCCCGATCATCCTTCAGATTGGCATACCTCAATGTTCTCACATTGCTACAGATTGGTCAACAGGCAGCACTTTCCCGAACATTAGAGACCCTCTCGATCGATATCTGCTGCTTATCGGAGACCCGCCTGCAAGACTCGAGCTCAGTGCTCACATTCGATCCCCTTCAGATGACACCAGCAGTGCTTTCGCATTGCGTCTATCCGGAGCCGATGCAGCTTTGAGCACCAGCCAAGCCGGTGTTGGTATTTCCCTGAGTCTCCGGACTGAAGCTGCTCTGGTTGACTAGATTCCAATCGGTAGCTGGATGTGCGGTCCGATTGACTGGCTCGTTCAAAGCTTCGTAATCGCGCGGACTAACCGGTGTCTATTTGTCATCGCTGCCTATACATCCACAAACTCTAGCGATGATTCGGTAAAAGACGACTTCTATCGCCAACTGAACGAGCACCTTCGCCACAGAAGAAGCTCGGACACTGTCGTGCTGGCTGGAGATCTGAACGCCCAAGTTGGAAACTTATCCACTGATGAACTGCATCTGGGCGGTCAACATGATGTAGGCTCCCGTAATGCTAACGGTGAGTGGTTACTTCATTTGTGTGATGATGTTTGCTTATTTCTTGCGAGCACTAATTTCCGACACAGCACTCGCAGGAGGGTGACTTGGCGCCCACCAGCCTCGAACCAGCTATGGACGCAAATCCATCACATTGCTATCAGTTTCCGCTGGAGAGACTACCTCCAAAACTCTCCCTCGATTGGCAGCACATGTGTGGACACTGACCATGCACTTGTATGTGCTGATCTGCGGGTGCGTTTTGGTGGTCGCCTACGACGACCCAACTGGCGAAGCCAAGTGTTCTGCATGCCTATCGAAGTATGCTGTCATGCGATTTGAGTAAGCGCTCACTGGATGCAATTGAAGCTCACTGGTCTCATTTTTTACCAGACCTTACTAGCAGCAGGAAAGTTCTCGTGTGGTAAGTCTAATCGCCAACATGGACATTGTGTCTCTTCGCAGTCTCTGGAACTTATCGATGATCTCCGGCATATTCCGGCTGGAAGCGAACACAATGAAACTCGTAAAGGGGTCCGGGCAAAACTTCGTGCTAGTCTGAATGAGGGTCGTGGATCCTGGTGGGCTCATTGTGCATCAGAGATGGAAATGGCCGCTGCCCTTAGTAACCATCGGAATTTGTTCCATCTGATACGGGAAACGGGCAGCAGGAGACCTGGTGTTATTGCAACAATACGTGACGAGAGTGGACAGCTTATCCACATCTTTTCGAAACACTTAGAGCATTTGGCTGCGAACTTTGAAAGGCGAGTTAATCGGTCGGAATTGTTGGATTTCTCGCCGGCCACTGATCGCCTCGCGCCCTTGACTGTCCCTTTGGATTCACCCTCTCGCTCAGAAGTTGAATGTGAGATCGAATTGCTGAAGTTAAATAAAGCCGCGGGACCGTAGGATTTTCCTTCAGCCCTCTTCAAATTCTGGGCAACCTGACAATATCCTGCCTCCGCAGTACAGTACACTTTCGGTCGGTGGCCGAAAGCGTTGCACTGCTGGTTTGCAATCTTTAGGTCACCGGTTTGAATCCGCGTGGGGGCGGGTGTCGTCGTGATACACTCATTCCACGCGCGATCTGTGGTGGTCTCTCGGCAGCGAAGCGTCGGTACAGTGTGCCGACGTTCTGCTGATCACTTTTTCCTCCCCTTCAAACCATTTATTGATGCTGTGGCAGTCGCAGATAATAAACGGTGCCCTATCTGCTATATCGAACTGGGTGGATAGACGTTTGAATGCTACTTTTCAACCCTTTCCGTCTTCTCCTTTCCTCTTCTGCGATCTTTCATTCCTTTCGTCCCGTTCTAACTTCACTTTTATCCCTTTTGTTTTCTACTCCCCCCAATCCTTGGCCCTCCCCCAACTTGCTTCAATGATCGCTTGTCTTCTAGTTCCGAATCAAGCGCTATCGTTGGACGTCGCCTCGGTCCAGTCGACAAGTCCATGTCCAGCCAAAAGGACAACATCAGTTCATCTGCTTCTGTTTGAAGCCCTCGATCCTTCCTAAGACTGGTATGCCTCAATGTGCGCACTTTGTTACAGATTGGTCAGCAGACAGCACTTGCCCGAACACTGGAGACGCTATCAATCGATATCAGCTACTTATCATAAACTCGCTTGCAAGATTCGAATTCTGTGATTACCCTGCGATCCCAAACGGGCGACACAGTCGGTATTTGCTCACTACGCTTGTCCGGAGATGACGGGGCATCAAATGCCGGTAAAGTCGGTGTGGGCATTGCTTTAAGGCCCCGGGCTGAGACTGCCCTATCCGTTGTATCCCAATGAACAGCCGGATGTGCGGTGTCAGGTTGGCTGGCTCGTTTAGAGCCTCGAAGTCGCGTGGAGACAACCGGTGGTTGTTTATCATTGCAGCCTACCCGCCCACAAATTGTATCGCTGACTCGATGAAAAACTTCTATCACCCTTTGAACGCACTTCTTCGTTACGGAAAGAGTACAGGTATAGTGGTGCTGGCTAGTGATTTGAACGCCCAAGTTTGAGAACTGTCTACTAATGAGCTTCATCTGGTGGGCCAACACGATCTAGGCTCTCGTAATGATAACTTTGAACGGTTACTACATCTGTGTGGAGATGCTCGTCTATTTCTCGCGAGCGTTATTTTCCGACACAGCACCCGTAGAAGGGTGACGTGACGCCCACCAGCTTCGGACCAGTCATGGCAAAAATCGATCATATCACGATCAGTTACCGCTGGAGAAGATGCGTTCAAAACTGTCACTTGATTTGGACTACGAGCGTGGACTCTGACCACCCGCTTGTTTGTGCCGACCTGCGGGTGCGTTTCGGCAGACGTCCGCATTGGCGCTGTGAGCGCATAGATACTTGCCAACTGGTGAAGTCGGATGTTCTGAATGCGTGTCAAAGTACACTGGCATCCGAGTTGAGTAAGCGCTCACTGGACACGGTTGAAGATCACTGGTCGCATATCTGCCAAATATTATTAGCAGCAGGCATGTCTTCATGTGGCAAATCAACTCATCAACCTGACATTGGGCCCCCACGCAGTCTCTGGAATTTATGGATGCTCGCCGTAGTGTTCCGGCTGGATTCGAATGCAATGAGACCCTCAAAGATATCTGGACGAAACTATGTCCTAGCCTGAGGAGTGGCTGCGAATCCTGGTGGTGTCATCCTGCGTCAGAAATGGATACAGCTGCTGCCCTTGGTAACCTTCGGAAGTTATTCTGTCTGATACGAGAAACGGACTTCCGGGGACCTGGTGTTAACCCGACTATCGCCGACGAGAGTGCATTTTTGATCTACAGCTTATCAATGCGCTTGGAGCGTTGCGCTGAGCACTTTGAGAAGCAGTTAAATTAGTCAGATGTACCAGCCAATGATCATCCTGCTCACTGGACCTTCTCCCTGGATTCGAATGTGAGATAAGGTTGCTGAAATTGAACAAGGCCGCTGGAGAAGACATACTTCATCCAGCCCTTTTCGAATTCGGGGCACCTGCTCTTTTGGACGTATCACTTAACTTGCTAGTGAATTTATAGGGACACAAGTCTGTCCCAACCGACTTGAGCCGCCCCGTTATTGTCCCAATTTTCAAGGGAGGCATCCGTTCAGAATACGGCAGTCATTGGGGAGTTACTCTGATCTCGACTGCCATTTTATTTACTTACCTTTGTCATGAAAACCAGCTGTGCGAGCAGCAGGCCGGGTTTCGTCGAAATCGAGGATGCATTGACCAAACGGTCACAGTACGTCAATTGTTGGATCACCGCGATGTTTATTTGTGTCCCACCCTGGTCGATTAGATTGATGCATGTGCCCTTTGGGACTGTCTAATGCTTTCGAATCTTTTCCGTCACCTTGCACAATATGTACGTTAAGCAGATAGGTTGATACTTGGCGGCGTTTTGACTACCCCCTCTTTGTATCTAGGTTTAATAGTCCCCATTTTCCAAGCAATCGTGAGCCGTCCAGCTTCAAGTGAGTGGCAAAACATTTGACAGACAGAAGCGACTTTGTAGTCGGAGGGTCCAAAACGCATATGTATAGACCCTGACTTAAAAGGTATACTTGATGTTGCATTGATTTCGAGCAGCCGCGATCTATTTAATTTGTGCGCTAATTTCGTCTACTAATATGAATTTGGCGTACACTGGTCGCACGACCCTTCGCCCCTGCTATCGTTTTTATCGATAGCTTCTGTACTGACCTATTTCCATGTTCGCACAAGCATGGGCGTGTCTGAATGAAATTTTCTAATGACACCCGCTATTCTTTTTACTCATAGCATGTGTTGCAGTATCCGTATTCGGATTTTGAGCTGTTTTCCGCATCCACACCCCGAGGTTTGTATCCTCTCATTTCAACTTCCCATATTTTCCTCCTCAAGTAGTTATATTTGTTTCTGCTTCCTTGGTCTTCATTTGGTCTCAACAGGGCGATAACATGTTATAAGCTATTTCCTGACGATTCATATCTCATGTTCCATTCCGCAATTCGAGCCGAGGTTTTCATGGTCGCTGACCAGTAGACAGTTAGACACAAGCACGGACTATGTACTTATCGTAGCCAGCAGCTTCATGAAAACACGCACTGTGCTGTGTATTTTTCCACAACTCCAGCTTTACAGCTTATAGCCTATCTCAACTTTCTGCATTTCTAAGCTTTTATGGAATTATCATTTCCTTCATGTTAGCATACTGCAATGCCCGCAGTTAACGAAAAACTTTACACCGGTCTGCTCTCTGTATTTCACCAATGGGATTTTCTCATTTTGAGAGTACAAGTTCTTCTTTTATGGGAGAGAGCATACCTGAGCCTGGCCTTTAATATTTTTGTACACATGCTTTTTTGGTAAGTTCTGCTACATTCTGTACTCTCAGTTGATCGAAATAGGGCGGTCGCATTAACCCACCAGAGTTCACTATTTATTCTGTGCGTCTTTTTGTCAGTCTGCGTCTTTGTCGATCTTTTGCGAAACAAGCTTTCCCGATTCTGTATTGGTAAGTCAACATATATTTATGACCCCTGTTGCCCACAGATTCAACCGAATCTCCTGGAAGCTTTACCAGCTTGGTAAAAGTTGCCTTAAAAGAGGGGCATATCCTTTCAGTTGAAGAACTCAGCTTGCGTACAGCCAACATTTTGTATTGCGTTATATCCTTGGTCAATGGACTCGCTCCTTGTCGCCGAAGACGGCCGCTTTTGGTTTGTTCAGCTGCACGATCTGTAGTATTGCTCTATCATCTGATTCCCATAAGCTTTCATTACAGACGCAATATACTTGATGTATCGGTTGTCTATGTATGGTATGTCATACTGCGCTTCGACGCTGTCATGTCTTTGTACGACGAAACCAATTTGTCCATGCTTCCTTTATTATTCCTGACTGAACTCCTCGGTACACAGCGGAACGTTTGTTCACTTCATCTCTCCAGGCCAACCCTACTTTGTTTCTATTCGTGACGAAAGTAAAGTGCGATGTATATATATACATATATATATATATATGTATATATATGTATATATATGTATATATATATATATATATATAGTCTACGAATAGACATTGAGCCATCAAAAACGGAAAGTGCAGATGTCGTAAACGAAAACACAATACGGAGGAGTCTATGGTTCCGTTAGAAGCCAAGATAAGAATTATATATAAAACATGTATATATAGTTACTTTTCTCTCAGTTCATCTAAATATTGCCTTGCATACCGATCTGACGTGCTTACTCTACCTATGGTAATCCAGCACTCCTTGTCCCCATTCTGTTCTAACAGACGATATAAAAGCATCATCACATCGAATGTCACTTTTTTCCAGTTTTTCCTAGTCACCAGTGGCATGAGCATCGCATGCATATGGGTTGGTGCCTGCCTTCCCGGTCTGGCGATATCCTACGCCGTTTTAAACCTTTGTCTTATCCTACCGGTTATGCTGCACAATCACGTGGGATCTAGACTTTGGAGTACCATACGGCCTATACTGCGACGCATTGAGGAAGAATTCGATAAGCACCCGTTGGAGTCGGTGAACGAGCGGATTGCGGGTGAAGCGGAATTCTATCAACCCATCATCGCTGCAGCAGCTGCATCGCATCCAGAATTGCTTTCGGATGAAAATGATGAAGGATTTCTTTCGGATGATTTTCTGTTCCCGCCTGCCCGTCGTCGTACATCGAGTTCAGACGAATTGGAGACATCCGAAGCGGCTTTTATTAGGCAGTTTGGTGAGTTAATTTTCTATTTCCTATTTGTTTCTAGCCCCATTCATCATTATCATCAACAGCATTACATCAGCTATGTGAACTGATGCTTCGCTGCCGTACAACCATAACAACCTACGGAACCAAAAATATAAGAGGGATAGAAGGAGGACTTACCGGAAAACTTTAATGCCATAGGCAAACATTATGGAGCAGGGTGCCTATACCTTTTCAACAACGTGCCGTTACAAACAGCTGGCTATCGTTCAATGATAAGGCGGCATCAACGATACAGCTTCATTTCAGCTTTCACTGCCCCGTGTCATGATCAACCATTATCCCGCAGATAACTCAGCACCAAACACACGTTAAACAGGCAGTCCGACTAAGGGGCAGCAGAAAACGCGCCCCTGGTACCAATTGCCAACCATGTCTTATAACGCCTCGAGCCAAGACAAGACAGCACGTGAACTTCGCCTAGAAGACGAGGCGGACCGGGGTTACCAAGCTTATCTGTCAGTGACTTCCTTTCCCGCCGTCAAGTCAACTTTTGTCCACCTGGAGCCCTGCGCCAACCTACATCTGGTAGACAGAACAAGGCTCTCCTCGGTAAACGGTGACCGAGCATACGTAGTAGGTTCCCAAACCAACGCGACTTATTCAGTGCTATCTGATATTCTAAGGGGACAAACTCAGCCTCCAGGTTAGGAGTTAGAATGAGGGTGGCTCCTTATTCCTTAAAACGGAATCCTTGTAGCCCAATGCCAAACCCACTGCCTTGCGGTAAGGTTTTTGAACAAAAGGCTTTGGTTGAGAACCCTAATCGTTCTCTAGGCCTGGGCAACCTGACAGTATTCTGCCCATGCAATATTATGAATCTTTCGTCAAACAATATCTTGATGCTCTGGCCACCGCAGAAGATAATCAACGGTGCCCATCTGCTGCATCGAGCAGGGTGGATAGGGGTTTAGATGCTACTGCTCAAGCCTACCCAACTTCTTATTCTCACTCTTACGCTTTTTCACTTACCATCCCCTTCCAGCTTCACTTTTACCCCTCCTGTTTTCAACCCTCCAATTCTCGGCCCTCGAATCAAGCGCTATCGTTGGACGTCGCCTCGGTCCAGTCGACAAGTCCATGTCCAGCCAAAAGGACAACATCAGTTCATCTGCTTCTGTTTGAAGCCCTCGATCCTTCCTAAGACTGGTATGCCTCAATGTGCGCACTTTGTTACAGATTGGTCAGCAGACAGCACTTGCCCGAACACTGGAGACGCTATCAATCGATATCAGCTACTTATCATAAACTCGCTTGCAAGATTCGTATTCTGTGATTACCCTGCGATCCCAAACGGGCGACACAGTCGGTATTTGCTCATTACGCTTGTCCGGAGATGACGGGGCATCAAATGCCGGTAAAGTCGGTGTGGGCATTGCTCTAAGGCCCCGGGCTGAGACAGCCCTTATCCGTTGTATCCCAATGAACAGCCGGATGTGCGGTGTCAGGTTGGCTGGCTCGTTTAGAGCCTCGAAGTCGCGTGGAGACAACCGGTGATTGTTTGCCATTCGCTTAGTTTTGAGATAGTGGGACAGGCTGTCGCTGCTCCACTATTGTAGTACGAGGTTGCCGTAGTCTCATTTACTTTTTAACCTCGCAATTGATGAAGTTATGGGGACTGCGTTCATTGGTCATGGATTGACGAGGGTATGACTGCTTCCAGTTGATCATCTTGACTTGGAGTATGCAGATGATATTTCCCTAATCCGTCGCGATTTATCAATCGTTAGGCCTGGCTTTGCGTACTTCAAATACAGAACTTCCCCGCATGATTAACACGGACAAACCGCTGCACTAACTCTTGGTGGGATCAACTTGAGCCACAGGAATTCACTGGCCTGATCAGTCATATCAGCGCTTGTGGACGAAAAGCTGATGTGACTAACCATATAATAAAGCTCCAGGTACTTTTGTTGCACTTCGCTATTTATGGCGCCAGTGCGACATCACTCCTATCCAGAAGGATAGGTTCTACAATGCAGCCGTCTGTTCAGCCCTGCTACGCGGTTGTAGAACTTAGACAGACTTGATGAGGCTAGTTGCGTTCTAACACACACACACACACACACACACACATATCCTTTCTGGACATTCAGTTCAGTGATTTCAACTTACAGGCCCCTATATCAGCAGACCAGCGCAGCTCACAATTCATAAGGATCGCTATACTCTGACTGTTAGTATGGAAACTCGGTCGATGCTACTGGAGGACGATGATTTTCTATGAGTATAAATGTGTTATAGAGCAGCATTAACGTGTCTAGCGATTGCGTGCTACATTTGGTGAGGATGCGCGTTCAAAACCACCGTGTTTAAGTGGTTTGCGGAATGCAAGCGTGGCAGGAGGTCTGGATGATGAGGCGCGGTGTGGTCGACCTGTGGAAGCCACCACCGCAGACAGCATTGCTGCTGTGCAAACGATACTGGAGATGAATGCGCGGGTGACTGTGGTACAGCTTGGAAAGCCATCGGGATCTCATCGGGATCAATCCGCACCATCTTACATAGCGACCTCGGCCTCAGAAAGGTTTGCGCACGCGAGGTACCCCATCAGCTCAGTGAGAACCAGATAGTAGCTCGGATGGATTGGTGCCTCCCCAAGCTTGCCAGGTTTGATGGTGAACGTTCCAATGCTGTTTAGGGGGTCCTCAGTGGTCATGAGATCTGCGTGTACAGTTTCAACCCAGCGACCAAGCAACAATCGGTTTAGTGGACGGCTGTTGGTGAGGCGCCGCCTCGGAAATTCCGGCTTGAGCGCAGTATTGCCAAGCACATGGTGACTGCGTTCGTTCCAATACCAGTCATGTGGCTACTGTACCGCTCGTGCGGCAATGCACTGCCACCGGAGACTGGGCTGCCACCCACTGTCTACCACAAGTGCTGGAAGCTGTAGCCAGGCGCCGTGCAGGAACTCGAGCACGAGGGACCTTTGCTGTACCATAACAACGCACCTGCACACAGGTCCCAGGTCATAGATCTTCTGACTAGAGTGTATCCAGGAGGTTGGCCACCTACCATATAGTCCAGACCTGTCTCCGTGTGACTTTTGTGTTCCCAAATTTTGAACGCATGATACATGGAATCTGCCATGAGTCTCAAGAACCTGCAGTAGAGTCCTTTATTGCGCTTCTTGAAGAGTTGCCCGCTTGGGTATAGTCTAGCTTCTACTCCAAACGGTTTGAACCCATGGAACTGTGCATGAACACTGGTGAATAGTACTTCCAGAAAAGCGAATGCTTATTTTGTTGTAAAAAATAAAACTTTTTTCGCGTCCGGATACTTATTGCTCTAGTTTCGTATTTGTTATTTTGTCTGTTTTCCGACCATGTAGTTGTTTTACATGGCTGCACAATAGCGGGAATCAGGGTACAGCGATTTGGGAAATTTAGCTGGCACGCCTTTCACGGATAGGCAGTACCACCAGCAGAATCGAAGGCGGCCTTTAAGTCAAGGAAGTACACTTTATTCAGTTGTCTGTAAATGACTTTGCTCTAACCATTGTCGAAGATTAAATATATAGTCGATGCAAACACGACCAGGGCGGAAGCCAACTTGGGTTTCAGTTTTGTGCTCTCACAAGGACCAGTAAATTGTCAATGAATGATACCCGACCCGTGAAAAGATTGTAGGCAATAGAAAGATGGCCAGTGTTTCGATGATTTTCGCACAAAGTCCATTGGCCATTTTTGATGGTGGGCACGACAGTCGCCAGTCCAAACTCGTGTTAAATAGAGTAGCAAGTACAATCTACACATAGTCATCTCAATATTTTGGCAAAGATACAGGAAGGTTCCGGGAGCCTTGTTATTCTAACACGGCTGGCTCATGTCGAATCTCTTCTGAAATCGGAGGTGTGACATCAACTTCCCTTGTCAGCTAAGGTGACTCAACAAGCGGCATTGTCGCAGCAGGTTTCCTGTATATAATTGTGTATGTGTTTCTGCTTGTATTGTGTATGCGACTGACGAGAATAATCGAAATGTTAACATATCGCAATCTGTGCCTTCTTTCTGCTTTGATCAAGTGGCTGAAGGGGATCAAATGTTTTACGTTTCCTGAGCTGCTCTACAAGATGTTCCGCCTAACGGGGTAGTCGACGAGGCTGAGAATGGATCTTCCTTAGCCATTGTCTCGCTAACTGATTGTTTTCTCGGATGGGATGGAATAGTACCCGGCTATTCCTAATTGCACTAGCTTTCTCCATCTCACGAACCGTTGCCACCCACCAACGTTTCCGGTCAATTCGAAGACCCCTTGTCAGACGTCGTTTCAGAGCGTTCCAGACATGCTGAAATTCAGTACTCATTGGCTCCTGTTTCCGTTCTTCAATCAAACTGCTCGATACCTCGGAGATCCACTCGCAGTTCGGCCGTATCAAGTTGGGTGCACAGCAGACGTCGAAAGCTTTTTATGACACCCTTGGGGCCTTTCCAGTTAGCGTTCGGTTCACCAACCTCATTCATTGACAAATTGGTGGGCCAGTTCGTCATTGCTATTGTTGAACTACGGACTGCCAGTTCAAGTTACTGATGAGGTTTTAAGCTATGCGCTTCTTTGAGGGGAGAAGACCCAGTGCTAGGCGTGCGCGCATTGAAGCATGGTCGGAATTCTGGCAGTTGCTCCAAATTGACTGATGGCAGTGTGGTCGATTTGAGTCCAGGTCATTGAGGAATTCGGTGTGCGCCAGGTGACGCGTTGTGAGTGTGTTTGTTGGAAAGCATTGCTGGAATCGATGATCATTGTCTGTTCGGCATGCATCTGCCTCAAAGTGGCCTTTCGGTAGGTAATCAGAATTTGAAAGACGACGCATATCGAAATTTTTCACCGGAAACATTCACGATGTCAGCATTATTTGCTCTACGGAGAAGGACTTGCTGAACTGCAGTCAGTGGAGACATGAACAGAGGCGAGGAATAAGCCCCTTGTATTCAGGCGGTGCTTACTAACCCGTTGCAGTCGACAGCACGCTTTGTTCCAAGGTCCACATCATTGCATCGGCTACGAGTCCAGAGATTGGCGATCCCGTTGAGGTGCCCATTACCTGTCGGTTTGTCCGTTGAAGACGAACTGCGTGAGGCGACAGAAATCACCCATCTCCATCATTTGTCTAACATTTTATTCTGTTTTTCGTATTCGCCGTTATGTTTTGTTCTACTAAGGGCATTATTGCTTGTTTAGTCAGCTTGGTGTCAATTGACTTGAACGTAACTGCTACATCAAACTAGAACATTTAGTACCCTTCATCCACTTCGTCAAAGCAGAAAGAAGACATAGATTGCGATATGTCAACATTTCGATTGTTCTCCTCAGTCGCAAACACAATACAAGCAGAAACACAGACACAAATATTTTTTGGTGTCTGCGTCCCAGTCGCTTTCAGCTGCCTGTACTTCGACTCGGTGATGCATCCATGTAGCAAGAGTATCTGCAGTTTCCCTGCAACCTGCTTCTCCACCAAGATGTTATTCTCCGGTGTCGTATCTCTCAGGAACTTACGTCTGTCACCCAAAATACACTCCATCTTTGAAACGTAGTCATTCCTGTTCATTATTATAATGCCTAATCTTTATCCGTCTGTAAGAATTTTACGTATGTTATCTCTTTTATCTCTCTGATCGCCGCATAGTGTTCAGCCTTCAGGCAACATCTCTAGCTTATTGGCGTATTCAGAAATTGGTTCGCAATATCCACCAATTTTGCCCGGAACCAACACGCATCTTCCATGGATCTTGCCGAAAGATCACTGAGCTGGCCATACAGATACTCGAAGTTGGCCTGCGTGCTGAATCTGTCTATCGACTTTGGTGGCATCCGATATATTCTAAGCGAGAGCACTTCCAGCTGCGTGCGAGGGAACTGTACAGATGATAGATTATATATGTGTTTCGGACAATCCGTTGGGAAAGAAGTATATGTAGCCTTTGCGAGCGAACCCTGTAGACTGCGCACTGTTTTCATCCGCGTGCGACGGAGAACTGCAGCGGACAATGCCTTCAATTTCAAGCGGCAAACCAAGGATAACTCATTGAGCGTGCTAGCGAAACGTCTGTGTTTCGAGGAGCTTTCGTTCTCGTTCCATGCAGGCGTCGACGTGCGCTGACACGATCCTGATCAGATTAGTACTATTTACAGGCAATTTATTCTTCGACACTGTCTTGGCAAACCGTGACGGAAAATAGCCTGATCAGATACATTCTACAAAATACTTTATCCTCGTGCGTTCCACAGCCAGCTTACAGCGCAACAATTTAACCATCGGTCTAATGCCGTCGCAACGGTAATGGGGAGACTTTTCAGAAATATGCCAGACATGTTGCTTGAAGGCTGAACACTATGCGGCGATCAGAGAGATAAAAGAGATAACATACGTAAACATCTTGCAGTCGGATAAAGATTAGGCATTATAATAATGAACAGGAATGACTACGTTTCAAAGATGGAGTGTATTTTGGGTGACAGACGTAAGTTCCTGAGAGATACGACACCGGAGAATAACATCTTGGTGGAGAAGCAGGTTGCAGGGAAACTGCAGATACTGTTGCTACATGGATGCATCACCGAGTCGAAGTACAGGCAGCTGAAAGCGACTGGGACGCAGACACCAAGAAATATTTGTGTCTGTGTTTCTGCTTGTATTGTGTTTGCGACTGAGGAGAACAATCGAAATGTTGACATATCGCATTCTACATCCAGCTAGACCATTACCTGATATCTTTCTACTGTCATTTATTTGAGATTTGCAAGCTATTATCCTGCTGATTAGTTGGATGTTTTAAATTCACTTTTAGATGTTTCAGACACCCATTGAGTGGTTTGTTTTTCTTTATCTATGCACTATTTCGGTTGACCGTGTTTCTGGTGGGTCTTATCATTTGGTCTCGTTTTCTTCTTATCAGCTCCAGAAATGAGCAACGAGGAAATTGACCGCCTCTTCTCCGACCTTCTCACAGATGGAGGCACTCCTTCTGTCACTTCTGCTTCCGTATCCCGCTTGCCTACTGTTGCTGCTTCTAACCCGAAGCTCAGCACGATGTTCGACGAGTATGCGACAGACGATGACGAGATTGAGGAGTCTATGAATCACACGGAGGTGAGGCATGTTTGCCCCTAATTTCTCTCGTAGCGATTTGTAATATGAAACAATGAATTCCTTATATTGTTACGAATAAGAGCCTCCGGGGGACGCAGCCAACGATATGACAATGTTATTTCCTGCATTCGTTTTACTCACCTGCATATGGTAATTAATAGTTTCAAGAAGAACGAGGTCGCGTGAGATCTCGTAGTGTCAATTTGGTGACCGATTGGCGCACACCGCTTTGCCACAGTAGGTTTAGTGCCACTGTCATCTGTTTATGCATGCAAACCCGAGGCAGTGCTCGGTCAAAAGTGATCATCTCAAGGACGATGAATATATGCAGCCTTTGACTGCGCATGGTGACCGTGTATGATCGGGATTGACTTGGTGATCGATGTTCACTAAATGTTTGATGATTGCCAAGCCAATCCTGATTTCTTGTTCACTCGGTTCAACCATCAAGGGGTCCGTCAGTGTTTGCCCCATTACTTCAAAGTGTGTTCGTCGATTTTGATGACCAGCATGGTTGTCTCTACAGCTTCGTATGAGCAACAGTGCATACACCGTTCCCACCATCTGATTTCTGAACACCTAAGCAACGCTCGTATTGACGTGAGCTACAACATCTGCTGCATTATTTGACTCTTTCGATGAACCATTTGTCAGTTTCTTGGTCACTTAAGGGTCAAAAGCCAGCCTTGTAATCTGATGACGCGGGTTCGAGCCTGCGTAGGGACCAGGCGACCCTGGCAGTATGCTTAGCCCACGTGCGACCGGTGTGGTCGCGCGTCATCGAAGCGTCGGTACTGCTGCGTATCGGCGTACTGCGGATGCCTTGCGTTTTGTCTGGTCACTTTCATATGATCGCCTTTGAATGGCGGCTGAATAAAGACTGGCTAAGTTCGAACTGTTGTCATTCGATATCGTTTCACTGCGTCAGTAAAATGCTCTATGAATTGGACCAACTAGCCGCTTTATTGTACGTTGTTGAACATCGGTCCTCCTGCTTCGTGTGTGTGCCTGGACTGCAAATCATGCGGGCCTGATAGATCAACGTTTTGCCTAAAGTACTTTCTCGTGTTGTATCGGCAAGATATTCCTGAACGGTAGACACCGGCTTGCCGTGGCCGCTTTCCGGTCGGCTGATCGTTTTATCGAACAATGGGATCGTCGTGGTGTGTGTGTGTGCGCAAAATGACGAAACCAGCATGTTGCGAACATGGGCTCGCACAACCGACTGATCTACGCGGAGGCTATTCACCATTTAAGTTACGAGAAAACGAAACTATTTGGTGCATAATTGCTCTCTACTATTCATTTTCAAACCAATTTTTCAAGTCAGGTTATGCCAACATAGGCTTTATGCACCCAACATTTTCACTATCACTGCAGATGCACTGAATGATGCGATCTATCAAAATGTTTAACTGCAATTTGAACAGTTAAATAAACAAAGGTGTACAATTGCCACTTAAGAAGCCCCATGGGAGTTCCTTTGGGTCGACAAGATAACGTGAGAAATAGGGTATGTATAGGTAGAAATTCGCCACATGTAGACTCACTCAGACAGCCATCACACGCCCGGAAAAGCACTGTACGCGCGTGTCATTCTTTCGGGAATCCTCAACAGTGCGCATTCCATCCGACCCTGGTAGGACTCGAACCCGCAATTCGACTGTTGCCAGTCCGTGGTTGAGACCACTGAGCTACGGGGACGGTAACGACCATCGTGAATAAGTTACCAGATGTGATATAGCGCCCATCACTATCCACTGACTTACACGTTACTGCCGTGCAGAGGACAGGGTCGCCCCCTCAACAAGCGACGGGCTTATCAAATTTAAGCCGCCAATTAACCTATGGCATTATACACAGTTCGGTCTGCATACTGATTGCAGTGGAGTAGTAGGGGGAGTTGAATGGTGTAGGTAGAAATTCGTCACATCTAGACTCACTCAGACAGCCATCACACCCCCGGAAAAGCACTGTACGCCTTTCATCCTTTTGGGAATCGTCAGCAGTGCGCATTCCATCGGACCCAGGTAGGGCTCTCGAACCCGCAACTCGACCGTTACCAGTTCGTGGTTGAGACGACTGAGCTACAGGGGACCGTAATGACCATCGTGAATAAGTTACTAGATGTGATATAGCGCCGCTCACTATCCACTGACTTGCACGTTACTACCGTGCAGAGGACAGGGTAGCCCCCTCACCAAGCGACGAACTCACCAAACATAAGCCGCCAATTAATCCGGAAGCTTCTTTCCATCACCTCAGGAGATCGGCCCACTCGTAGTCAACAATGGGAGAAATGATGTATAGAAGGTGGCGAAATACAAATAATGATAAATGAGTGGTATATATCCGACAAGTTCTGCTTCAGGTTGTAAATAGGGAATACATAGAAAAAGTAATGGTGATGAAAAAAGGCTCTATGGACGATTTTCAGATAGATCCAGCGACTCCAGACAATCGAGTTGTAGAGTAATTGGTGTGGAAAGTGGACTTCACAGAGCAACAAGAACTGCTACAGGTAGATGAGTTGTTTTCTCTGGAAACGAAATGATACCAATTGGCAGTGCACAGCAAATGTAAAGGGAGAAAAGAAGATTAGTTTTGCATGGCGAAAAGCGAGATAACATGATGTTGGAATGCGAAGCAGTTTAATGGTTTAGCTGAACGTTGAAGATATTATTCAGACAGCTTGTACATATTACCGTGCACTTGTCTCTTACACCTATATTTCAACCCTTTCTTCATACACTGACTCCACTCTGCAGTCCAGTTTCATAAGTACTCTGACTTGCAACACAGTGATGCACCACGTATCCAGCATTTTTCTTAACAGTTGTTTATACTCACAGTCGCAATTCAGTAGGTAGTCTGTTCTAGCTTTCTGAATACTTCGTCAGCCAAAACTTCCTGCGTTTGCTTGTTTTCGTTCTACTTAAGGGAAACGAATTTCTCTTATTCCTAATGTTAGACATTCCATTCTGAATGAAGGGTATACTATTGTTGCGGGTCAACTGCTCGTTTGTGCACTAAATCGAATAGAAACTTCAGGCCAGGTTTCGACCTCCGTAACCACAACGGCTCTAATGTAAGCAGAATACAGCGCTCTGAATAGTTTGGTGTTGGAGATTCGGCAAATAGGGCCTTGGTAAATCGACGCTTCACATTCTCCAAGTATAGACGATCACGTCTCTTACAACTACTAAGTATCATCGAGCAGTGTTTCAAAAGAGAGTGCACGTAGATCTTGAACGTATGCAGCTTGGAATCACGCAATATCAGTGATTTGATGATTAACCGCGGGCTTTGGCTGCTATGAATTCGATCTGCTCCCGGTATTGATCAGGCTGATCCCTCCATAATTGCCGCATTCCAAACGTGAGTCTCACTTGACAATTGGGACAGTAACAGAACGACTCCAGTCATCACCAAAAACAGATAACCAGTGTGTGAAGCAATCGAACACTTCGCTGACATACCGTATGGACAGTAGTGAATCTTGAACAGTACTCTGTACGCCGCCTGTGCTTCCGTTCTGCACTTCCCAGTCTTACCGACTGTGTTTGATCTGCCCATTGGTATGAGAACCACGACGACAGCCAGTGCGATATGAGCTTAGTCAAAAAGCTAGGATATGGGACATAGTCGAAAGCTTCTTCATGTCAAGAAGATGATGTCAAGCTTATGGCTTGAATCAGTTTCTTGAGGTCTCAAAACTAATCTTGGTATATTTGGCAGGAGAGGTGGTAAAAAATCCATGTTGGAGTTTCTTGATTAGGCTGCGTGGCGACGAAATTCAAGCATTTGCTCTTTAACTCTTCTTCCCATGACACGTAACGCGATAGATGTATGGGTGATTGGTCAGTAGTTATCCATGTTTTGACGGTAGTCACTTTTACGTCTTGGTGATAGAACAACTGCGTGCTTTCAGGTGACTTGGAATGTACTGCTTCTCATTACTAACGTGTAAGTGTTCGGGCGCATGATAGGGATGTTTGCACACCCTAGCGTCAACAGCACGAAAGGCAAACCATCAGGGATGAGGTATAAAGACAACTTGAACGAGCTGGTCCTCCTTGTGATAGTGCACAGATCAAAGTCGTTGCTGGGTTGCTCTTTTTCTTTGGACCTAGATACGTGAGATGGTATTATCATATTGACGTCAGTGAGAGTTTCAAAACTGTCTGTTCGGGACCTGGCATAGTTGTGCCTGGTTATTAATCACTGTTTTATCCTGCAGTATGTATGAGATAATGGACATCACATCGCGCGTGCTCCTGCGTTTCAGCGAAACGGCAAACATTTTTTGCTGATTTACGCTCTTAACCATAATTCACTCTTGTGCTGATTTTGCCGAAAACTGTTTCCCTCCGTCCCGTCATGGTTTGTTTGATGCGTATAAGAAGCTGAAAGTCCATAGTCTTATTGTACTCAAACCTCATTCTCTTGAGTTTGGCAGACACTGTTTCTATAATAGCCAAGGTTGGTTTACAGCTCGGTAGACGTCCGTGTTTCTTTGGTGCGAGTAAGCCCAGGCGGAGATAAATGTTATTATACATCTCGTATTGGACAGTATGAGGATCAGTTGCACGGAATAATCTATCCTAGACCATTGATCTGTTGAGCATCGAGAAGCCACACCAGTTAATGCGTTTCATTGGCCGTTAGGAAGACACCTGTCTTTCAACACGTTTTTTTCAATCCGTTTAGCTCAACGGAGCACTTTACTACATTATGATCACTACCTCGATTGATGTAGCCAACCTCATGTTGTCCCCGGTACTCTACTCTTATGGTGTCTTCAGGGTTACCAATAGACGGAACTACAAATTTTGAAGCATGATAGCCCTCATGATTGTAAACAAAGAACCCACCTCCTTGGCTATTAGCGCATCCATTACAGCATTCTGTAACTCCGGATTTGTAGAGGTGTATCACGTGCACTGGAGGAGTGTCGTATTTCAGTAGTGAACACCACCTATGACCCAGATAAAAGGAACGATGGATCTAATTGATAAATC